GGGTGCGAATGGCACCCTGGAACGAATTGTGTCCACAACTAGAGGTACCACTGTAAATAGTTGTACCTGGTTGGTCTTAAAGAATGAATACTGCCAGCAGCAAAAAGACTTTTGGATTGATTTGGCAGAAATACCAGCGTGTGAGGAGATGCTGCAATGGACAGAGGGGTATCATACTGTGATGGCTTGGGAATCTGATTCAGAGGCTGAATCAGGGGAATCCCAGCCTGCACAGGAGCCCCTGCCTCCAGGGCTGGCTGAGCCGGGGCAGGGGCTTGAATCTGAAGGGCCCCCACCTGTGCTGGATCCTCAGGAGCAGACACCAGCTGAATCCGCTTTGGCTCAGGAGGTGATTGAGGACCCATTGCCTGCAGGTGCGCCTCTCCCAGCCCTGTCAGGGGAAGGTGAAGCTGCCCCTGGGTCCAGTAACCCTCCAGCCTCTCCCGAGCTGCAGAGGGAACTAAGTTCTCTCAGGAGGAGTGCTCGCCTTAAGGCCAGGGGAGGTGAGTCACCTGTGGGCTGGGACCGCCCTAGGCCTCAGAGGAGATAAAGGCCAGTCAGCCCTGTCCCAGGTTGCGGGAGCAACGTCGCTGGAAACCTGTTCCTGCCAGCACCCTGACCTGCTCTTCTGGAGTTCCTGACCACTCCCAGCTCCTTGCCTTGGACCCTGCTTTGCCCTTGACGGACAGCCTCCAGACCCTTGACCCAGGACTGGACTCAGACCACGTCGCATGGTACCCTCCCCAGGACCAGCACACATAAACATAAAATCCACACAGAAACACATCATTTTATTTTAACTCGCTTGTGGAAACAACTCAGAGGCCGTGAAAGAAGGAAAACAACAGGAAGATTTAAAGGAACTATTAGAAATGACTATTAAAGCAGTAGAGATATGAGGTGATCAGAGCTCCCCTGAATTTGAAGCATGGGAAGTCCCAATAAAAAATTAATAATTTGGCAGAATATTTGGATTGATTGATATGTATATGTATAATTTGGAATACTTAATGTGATTTGATTGGATTGTTAAAATGGAAAACTTAACAAAAATGATTTTTTTAAAGAAAATAAAGAAAGAATGAATACATGCACATACATTATTCGTTGCAATATTGTAGTGGCTAACTAGTTCACTGTGGCATGACTTACTGGAAGCTACTTCATCAGTGATACAGGCACTTTAAAATGCCCCTATCTAAAATGCCCCTATTTAAATGTACCACTCATTTATATTTTGAACACAATTTTAAGAACCAAAAATAACTTGATAGGGAAATAAGACTGAGATTGGGTGGTTGGGTGAGAGAGAGAGAAGGCAAGAGAAAAGATATTCAGCTGTTTTGACAGCCATTTATTCCCCTCCACTGATACCCTTTCAAAATAATTATTAAAAAGTGAGCCATTGCAGTTGCTTGAAGCCAGACGAGCTGCCTGTGAAACTTCAACAGGTTTTCTTCACAGCTGGCCGTGCCTGTGCGGCTTCCAGACTGTGCAGCTTCCGTCTTTATCTCTCCTGCTTACTAAGATGTCTCATTCAGCTACAGATAAAAGGGGAGGAAGGGAATGGGGCTTTGAAATCTCACCATTGGGGTGTCAAAGACATCAGCATGCAAGAGTCAAACATAAATGAGTTCAAGATGAAATCTAGGGGACAAGAAGGAGGAAATGTGCTTTCCAAAGACACATCGTATTTTGGATTTCTGTCTGCATACATGGGCCCAGAGGGTAAGGAGATGCTATGATAACATTTGCTCACATGACTGAGTGTGTTTGTGTGCACATAGGTAGTGCCCAAAACAACTCTGATATCTTTCCTGTATTAAAAGCAAAAGATTCACCAGCTACTTTCAGGGAAGTTTTTAATGTGTGACATTTTAATGTATTTTTAATCTTTGTTGGAAGCCGCCCAGAGTAGCTGGGGAAACCAAGCCAGATGGGCAGGGTACAAATAAATTATTATTATTATTATTAATGGGGGTAGGGCTTCCATGGCTGACTTCGCGAATTCCTGTAATTTGCTCGGAGAAATCCAGTTACAGAGTGGCCTAATAAAACTATACACACGTATTAATAAATATATTTGGGCTTCTCAATAGATTTAACTGGTGGGATCAACATAAATGACTGTGCAGTCTGTTGAAATGAATAGGTAAGTTTTTATATTTTTTTTGGAGGGGGGATACTATAGCACACGTAAAATCTCCTGGATATGTTTGAGCTATACTACTAATTACATTTGCAGTTTTTCAGAAAAGGCATTTATTCAAGGTGTGCTGCATGTACTCCACCGGTTGTCTCCTGTAAATGTATGTGATTTGCTATTTGATTGCACCTTTACATATTAGGTGGCTGGAGGTTTTTCTTCATCTTTTTGACAATCCCCCGCCCCCCGCCTTATCACAGCTTTAAAAGGTACCTCCTGCCCATGCTGCTTTCCTCAGGATTACTGTTTCTGGAAATGACACTGGCTGTCATTCCAGAATTCTGAAAAATGAAACAATCCTGGTGCCAATATTGTCCACACTGAGTGACCTTGGGCCAGTTATTATTATTAGTAGTAGTAGTAGTAGTAGTAGTAGTAGTAGTAGTATACTGCTGTATACTCACAGGTCTCAGGGTGGTTTACAACATAAAAACACAATATAGAACACAAAATACATAATAAAAATAAAAATAACCTAGTGATGCCCCCCCCAACACATTTTAAAAGTGCACCAGATGCCATTCAGCCCAGAGTCTGGTTAAAGAGGAACATTTTTGCCTGGCACCTAAAGTGGTATAATGAAGGCACCAACCAAACCTCCCTGTGGAGACCATTTCACAAACAGGGAGCCACTGCTGAAAAGGCCCATTCTCATGTTGCCTCCTTCCGGACCTCTCATATCAAATCAAATCAAAACTTTATTGCGGTCCAAAGACCCACCAAACAATTTCAAAACTAGATACCGCTAAAACGACCAGACAGACAGATGGAAGAAACCAAGGCAGTCATTTTCTTTTATCTATATAGGAGGGACATGAAGAAGGGCCTCAGGCGATGATCTCAGGGTCTGGGTAGGTTCATATGGACAGAGGTGGCCCTTGAGGTATTGCAGTCCTGAGCTGTTTAAGGCTTTATAGGTCAAAACCAGTATTTTGAATTGGGCCCAGAAACTAATTGACAGCCAGTGCAGTCAAGCTAGGCTCAATGTGAAATGCTCAAGCTGTCTTGCCCCGGTGAGCAAGCTGACTGCTGAATTCTGCACTTTAATCTACCTCCTAGGGACATGGATGGCGCTGTGGGTTAATCCACAGAGCCTAGGATTTGCCGATCAGAAGGTTGGCGGTTTGAATCCCCGCGATGGGGTGAGCTCCCGTTGCTCGATTCCTGCTCCTGCCAACCTAGCAGTTCGAAAGCACATCAAAATGCAAGTAGATAAATAGGTACCACTCTGGTGGGAAGGTAAACAGCGTTTCCATGCGCTGCTCTGGTTCACCAGAAGCGGCTTAGTCATGCTGGCCACATGACCTGGAAGCTGTACACCGGCTCCCTCGGCCAATAAAGCAAGATGAGCGCCACAACCCCAGAGTCGGTCACGACTGGACCTAATGATCAGGGGTCCCTTTACCTTTACCTACCTCCGAGGACACACACACACACACACACACACACACACACACACTTTGCCATTCTTTCTCTGCTGCTGGGCTGGGGCCCTCTTATGCAGGTTAGCACTCAAGCAAAAGCAGCAGACAGAAGGAGCTGTGTTTCCTGTGCTACCCCACTGTTTCCCTTCCTGCCTGTTCCTGCCACTCTTTCAACACTTCCTGCTCTTCTCCTTCCAAACCAATAAAACAGGAGGTGGAGAAAGAATGCTCAGGCTTAGTTTTCATTGGAGGAGACAGGCAAGGTAGGTGACCAGCTAAGCTGGAGATCCAGGCATTTGCAGAGTGGAGTGGCTGACTGGACCCAAAACATCTGCCATCAGATCCCACAGGTGTGTTTGTTGGTTCATCTTGCCTCGTGGAAGGGCCAGACGTGCCTTTTCTCTACCATTACTCTTCTTAACACAGCCTCACCTTACCTCTCAGATTTCTTATGAGGGATGAGGCTGGTTCTGCCACCAAGCAGTCATCATCACAGGCACCATGGGTGTCCTTAAAAGGCAGCAATTTTTAGCTATTTAATTTATTCCCGTTGTATTTTTACTGCCAGGGGTGGGGAAAATGCTTGCAGGATTTTCTGCTTCAGGTGGCAACGTAACAGGATCATTCTAGGTTCCTATGACAGTTTGGGGGAGTGGGGGTGCCACATGTTGCTCTACCTCAGGCGGAAAAAATGTCTTGGGCCAGCTCTGATGAGTGGCCCTGAGAAACTCTGTATTTCACTACCATCCAGCCAAACAAAAACCAGCAAGTATTGTTCGTGGGCAAGGAAATCTCCACATATTTGTTTCAGCATTCCATAAAACAGCCTCCATTTAAGCAAGCTGCTGACATTCCATGTGTATTTACTGTCTGCCAGCTTGTTCAGGGACAAAGGCACAGCTCCTTCCTATTAAGAGAGGTAATAACTTAATTAAAACCAAGTTCTAGGCTCTGCAGGATCTAGTTTGTCATCAAGAAGCCTTAAGTTGCCTTTTCCTTTTGAGTTTTGTTGATAATCTATGCCAGATATTTAATCATGGGACACCCCTGTATAAAGCTTCTAGCCTCCATAACCAGCAGAAAGCTTGTCAAAATAAATTTTAACTTCTGACCGTGGTAGAAGACCCACTACGGGGTATTAAGAGAATCAAGCCTGTCAATCAGAGCTCACGCTTCTGGTTTATATTATTAATTCCAACTCTGGTGGCATGGTCTTGGGATAACAACCATCCTAAGCTACATTGGTCCAAGAAACACAAACCAAGAGTGGAATATATTTCTTGCCGGGATGACGTACCAGTGTCCAGAGGTTGTTGGACTGAGACTTTTTTCTTTTTCTTTTTTTGAAAGGTGAATGTTTTATTAGATTACTCCTGCTGCCAAAAGACACAGCTACTGTCTGGCTTCTGTTGCTGACTCCTTTCTTTCCTTTTAAAAGATATAGATGCAGTGTTTTTTCTTCTTCTTCAGAACCAATTAGCACAAATTCAGACTGATTTCTCTTTTTTATTTGCTCTTGCAAATTTCAGTCCTCTCTCTCTCTCTTAAAAAAAAAAATCCCCTTTCAGTTATGAAACAGAGCACAGTCGCCCAAACTGAAATCTAGCGTGGAGCTTGCAAGATGGCATTTTATTACAATGCAAAACAGCAGGAAGGATTCTGCGGAGAAAGAAGAGAAGTGTGTTAATTGAGAGAAAAACCATGCCAAGACCTCCAGAAACCAGTGGCCCTAATAAAATGAGACAATGCTATGTTGTTGCATAACTTGGACTTCAAACTCAATTTCAGCTACTGAGGAAAAGAAGCAGTGCAGGTCTTGCCTCTTTGCCTTTTCTTTCACATGGCCATGTAAAGAGACAAGGTCTCTCAGTTTGCAGCATGCCAAGTTACGATTGCATCCATGCGGCTACTTTGGTTGCCTTCCTTAGGAAGATCACAGTCAAAAAGTGGAACATATTTAAAGTACCAAATATACACACTTTGTGTTACTTGCAGTGCTATTTTTCTGGAAAAAGAGAAGCCGGAACTCACCACGAACGCCTCCCTTGTTCTCTTATAATGGCAATGGGACCCACCTGAGAGGTGCCAGAACTGAGTTCTGGTTGAAAAAAGCCCTGAAGTGTTATTTTTCTCGAAAAAGAGATGCCAGAATTCACCCTTGTTCTCTTATCATGGCAACAGCACCCACCTGAGAGGTGCTGGAACTGAGTTCTGGTGAGTTCTGGCTGCGGGGAAAAGCCCTGATTATTTTCAATAAAGAAACTCCTCAATATATCACTACACTTGGTTTATATCTTACCTGCTATATCCATGCAGGCTGACCCATTTGGTTGCTTGAGGTGAAGGAACAAATGACACCCGTCCCCTAGTCAACTGTATCCAAGGCCAGCCACTTTGGCACTTGAGACAGAAAATCCCAGAAACACCTCTTTCCTTCTCCCTGGCAGTAAAATTCCAATGATAATACATCAAATAACTAAGCATTTGCTTTCTTTTCATGACGCTCAGCCTGAGGCTGCCATTTCACTGCTTAATGGTAGGACCAGCCCTGGATCCATATGCAACTGAATTAAGCATTGGCTATAATCAGTGCCAGATTTATGTGTAAGCTAAACAAGCTTTAGCTTAGGGCCCCACTCTCTCGGGGCCCCCAAAAAAATTTAAAGAAAAAACAACCTGGATGTACATTTCCAAAATATAAGATAAAAAACAAATAAAACCTACCTACAGCAACAGTGTTTTGTGTTGTGAAGGCTCCTATGATGTAAGTAATGGGCCCCACCTGCTAGCCTGCTCCCTAAAATATTACTGGTTTGCTCATTTCTATATCAATTACTTTGATAAAATATATATTTTGTTATGTGCAAGTGGCTTTAGATACCTATTCGGTCCATAAATTACCATATAGCATATATTCAACACAAAAAACAGTGACTATTTGTTGTTGACAAAGGACAGCTGGACATATAGTGGTACCTCTGGATATGAACAGGATCCGTTCTGGAGCCCCGTTCATATCTAGAAGCAAACGTAACTAGCAACGGCACGTCTGCGCATGCGCGCGCTGCTTTTCGCCGCTTCTGCGCATGCGCGTGACGTCATTTTGAGTGTCTGCGCATGCGCAAGTGGCAAAACCCGGAAGTAACGCGCTCTGTTACTTTCGGGTTGCCGCGGAGCGCAACTCGAACACGCTCAACCCGAAGTGCATTCAACCCGAGGTATGACTGTATAAAGGGCCCCATTACCTTCAGTAGCTTAGGACCTCATCAAACCTAAAGCCGGACCTGGCTATAATTCTCACACACAGAAATGTGGAGGTCTCAGGCTACCATCCTAGCCTCCTGCCTTGTGCTTTGGAATCTCCATGTTGATTGTTCATTTTGTTTTACCACAAGGCAAGGAAAGGGACCCTTCACTTTCTCAACCCCGCTGGGATCTATCAAAATTTGCTTCGCCTAAGGTCAAATACCTAGAATTTCCCCCTTCTTGCTACTGCCCCTGCACCACAAAAAAGACTATTCCAGGTAACTGAGGGGCTCTCCAGGTTTTGGGGTGAGGCTGCACCAGGAACGGGGGGGGGGGACCTTCCACCCTTCCTGTCCTGTTAACAGAAGTATTCCTGGGACGAAAGAATGCTCTGTGAGTGAAATGGCAGCTTTGGGGTTCAACCCATAGGCTTTGCATGTCAACAAGGCTTTAGAAGCTCAATCTTCTGCTTAGTCTTATGCTCTTATTGCAGGGCAGGGACTTGTTTTTATTTAATATATGTGAGCCTTTTCTGGATAAAGAGAGGGGTGAAAATAAAAGTTGTGTGTACCCCAATTTATGAAGTGAACTGAGTTGATTCAGGCAAGGTTCTCACATTAAGAAAGAAGGCTGATTGGGGACTTGATATTGTCACAATCATCCAGAGAAGTCATTTTCTTTGACTGCTTTGCACAATATTTACCAATTTAAAAGAGATATGTAGAATTTGAGTACACTTTCTGCTGCAATCCTATGCACACTCACTTGTGTAACAGTGCAGTCCTATACAAGTTTATTCAGAAACCTCACTGGCTCTGTTAACATTTAGTTGGGTGTGTCATTGAGGTCAATGAGACTTATTTATGAGTAAACCAGGATAGGAGTGCAATGTTAATTGCCATATCTTCAACAGTTTTCAATTTTATCACAGCCTGCCGGTCACTGAGGCAATATGTGTGTGTGTTTGTGTTACATGTGGAATTTTTCAATACTAAAAACAACTGGCCTCTGGGACATTAATTGGAAGTTCCAGTTGGCTTACAGTCTTCATGAGAAAATGTGTTTATTTTGTCTTCTTGATTTACTTTTCCTCCTGTCTGGGTATTGTGCCTCCAGGAAGAAAAGCTTACATTGCTGAAGTATAGTCTTCTTGCGAACCTTGCCAAAAATAAAGTGGTTGAATAGGAAAGCACATCGAGCTTACCTCCTTTACAAATTAAAAAAAAGGGGGGGGGACAGAAATGGGGTAAAATTCAGACCAATAATTCTCCTTTTCATTGTGCACAGATTTAAGTAGTGGAGGCACCGATAAAGACCTTCACCCAAGACCAAGGCTTGGAAATTATGTCATGATTAGAGATGCTTAAATAATTGGATCTTTGTGAACTTCAGTGCAAACAGAACCGATTTGCACCTCTCAGATTAATGTTGAGATTGGAGCTTAGTTATCTTTCACACCTATTGCCTCAAAGGAAAATAGTTAAATGTATTTGAAAAATTTATATTTGGAGAGACAATGCATTCCACAATGTGTATCTGGTGGAAATGTGTTAAGAAAACCCAGTGAATGTTTAAATACATTTAAATATGTACATAATGTGTGATTTTGGACAGGAGGGGGGGAGAGATGGAAGGAAGGAAGGAAGGAAGGAAGGAAGGAAGGAAGGAAGGAAGGAAGAATCTTGCCATAGGACGGCCATGTGCCCAACTTTAGAGAGGACAGTCTTCCATTTGAAGAAATTCTCTATTTGAATGGCTATCTCGTCCAAACTTAGTGTAATGATCAAGAAGAGAGAGTAGTGGCCTTGAAGTTAGTACTGTCAACAACTGCTCACACACTTCTCATTATGGTGCGATTTATTGTATTTATATTTAAATTATATTGCAAAATTATTTGAAAAATCTATACATATGAATGAGCATACACAAAATTTAGACAAACGTGCCTGCTTTTGAGTGATGCACTTTCTCCTTTTTCAGTGATATATTAGTGCCCACTGTATGTGACTGTCCCATGTCATTGCATTCCTTGTGTTTACGGATGTTGGAGAATTTCAAGAAAAACAGAAATGGGATTGGGAATTTGCCAGTGCTCATTTATTCACAGCATGTTCACAATGCACATGATTAATATTTGCTGCCATTGTTGTTTTCAGTCTGCAAATGACACCTAATTGATGACATTCTTCCCCCTCCCTCCCAATTTGCACTTTTTCTTGCTTTGCACTGAAATGAATGTTGCGGAATACAGCAACGATGACATAATTAATTACAGAATTAATCACAGAATTGATTACATAACATTTCGTCATAGTGGACAGTGAGATGAATCACATAGTTTTTGTTGACAGCTGAAATGCGGCAGAATGGAAACAGCACTGCAAGCAACCAATATAGGGCAGAGCGGACATCAATGCTTTCTTACATCCCAAACTGTGGTTTACCTCTGAATTAAAGACGAGCTGAAAAGAGTTATTTTGGCTTGCAAGTGGGAGCTGTTTCTAAAAAATGCCCTTTTACTCCCCCTTTTCACTGCCTGTTTTGCGATCCAGTCAGCAATGTCAGTGGTGTCTGCCACTTTCTTGTACCACAGAATCCCACAACATCATCATGAAGGACTGGCAATGCGGACAATGCTTCCTGTCCTCACTCTGAAGCCATAGTTTTTGGGTTTATTTTTTTTAAAAAAAGATTTCTGACCACAGTGAGAAGTGCAGTTCTTGCACTCTTATTCACGCCTATCCCCTCACAACATTTGTGAGGATGCTGAAGTTGTGGGTGCAATTTTGACTCATACCTAATTTAACTATGACTACTATCTCCTACTTCGGAGCAATCTAACCCACAGTAAACACACCTATATTTTGAACTCCACATAACAGACCAAAGAAAACATGGTTTTTAAAAATGTACATGCCATTTTGATGCTCTGCCCTCTGTTAAGGCCTTCCTCAGCAAAGGAACCTGAAGAGTAGCACGTCCGAGCAGCATCTTGCAGAGTCTTAGGCTGGGTGCCATCTGCTGAATCACAAATATCGTGAGTTGTGACACTTGGTACATTTATTTATTTATTTATTTATTTATCCATTCGTTTGCGGAGGTTCTCCCTCTCTAAGTACAAACAAACACATTCAACCACAACCTGAGGTGAACTGGCTGTACCTCGCCAGAAGACACCACCTATTTGGGACATTGGGTTAATCTGAACAAACAAACAAAACAGTAAATTGATTTCACGACCTCCCTTCACATTTTTAGTACAAAATATGACAGGAGATGGATGGCTTGAGAATTCCCTTAAGATCCATTATGGTCCTGTCCTCCCCCCCCCCCTCACCACCAATTCCTTGAGATGCCTATTGAAAAGAGGATCACACAAGAGCAGCTGGCTTTTCACAAATGGTCAGAATTCTCCTGATGCACATACGGATATGTCACCCATAATTTAAAAGTTCCTGTTGTCTGTTGTGGGTATTTTCTAATACTTTCTTTATGTTGCTTTCTCAGCAGAGCTCAAATTTCCTCACAGCAAGCCAACCAAAGCCATTTCAACAAAGGTCCATGGTCGTGTGCTATAGAATCCATGCATTTGTTGGACTTGGGAAGCCTCAAAATTATTGGGGGGCTGATTGAACTGAAGCGGATAAGGTGGATGCCAGAGGCATTACAACATTCAACAGTAGTCTCTTGGTGCATCAAAACCCTCTGCACATATGTCTGGGGACATTCCACATGTACCTCTGTGTGCCATTTCAGAATCCAGTTAGACTGCAGATTCCACCTAAAACTTCACAATGTACGTGGAATGTCTAGTGCACTGGAACTCAGCTTGTTCTGAATTCTACTCCTCCTTGTGCAGCAGTTCCACCTGTCCCTACCAGAAAGTCAAGTAGAAATAAGCATGAACTCAGAGTAGAAAGGAGTTTTGTCATTGTATGTCATCTGAACAAAATTAATCATATTTGCAGAGGAAACACTAAGCTGTTAACTGTGGGGTGGATGTAATAATAAAAGTATCAATTTTCAGTTTTTTGACAGTAATTCAGCTGCTGTCGCATAATCTGTAATGTAATGCTAGGTCAGGCTTTGCACAACTGAGTTTTGCTTCAGGATTCCTCTTGCATTGAATGAGTAGAGGGGTTCATCCTTCCCTCCCTAAATGTCTAGAACGGTAAAACTGGTAAAATCCATTCTGTTTCTGAGTTGCTATGTCTTTTGTCTGCTTCCATCTGTAATTCAGGTTCCAAGCAACTTTCTATAAAATGAAACTCTCTAAAGGGGAATCTAAATATCTTAACATTTCCTCCTTTTAACAGAAACAGATGAAATTTGTAGGCACATGAGGTCATCCAGAGTGAATTAAGCTGGACAAATTGCAGACAAATAAAACAATGAGCTTTTGTGGAAGAAGAAGAAGAATGGATTCACTTTCCTCCATAATACATAGGTTATATTCAACTAACTTTTACTCAGAGTAGATCCACTGAAATTAATGGCCATCACTAATATTGTGATGAGCCAGTGTGGTGTGGTTAAAGCAGTGTGGTGTGGTGTGGTTAAAGCAAGGGTTGGCTAGCTTACCGAACGATGGGCTGGTCCACGCTCTGTCCGTCGGAGGATGGACCGGAGCATGTGCACATGCATGCTCTTCTGGGTGGGGGAGTGCCCTTGCACATGTGCACACGCTATTTCCGGCGCTCCTCTGACCCAGATGTGCGCCAGAAATAGTGTGTGTGCATTGCATGGGCGCTTTTCCATCCCGCACACTATTTCCAGCACACATCCGGGTCGGAGGAGCACCTGCGCACATGCACACAGGCGCCATCAACCCAGAAGTTGGTCCCCGCACTGCGCCGCACTATGCCGGTAACAGCAGGCAGCAGGGGGCGGCAGGGGTCACCATGGGCCGGATAGATGAGCCCCATGGACCGCTAGTGGCCTATGGGCCTTAGGTTGCCAACCCCTGGGTTAGAGTGTTGGTCACTAAGTGACCCTGGACCAGTCGCTGCCTCTCAGCCTAAATTACTTCACAGGATTGTTGTTGGAATTAAAAGATGAGGAGAGCCATGTATGCCACTTTGAGCTCCTTGGAGAAAAGGGCAGGATATAAATGCAATCAATGAAAAAGGTCAATTAATTTCAATGGGTCTGCTCTGAGTAAGAGTTAGTTGAATACAGCACCATATTAGGTTTATGCCAACATCATTAGGCCAACTAAAACTCCAAAATCCATGCTAGCTTCACTTTTTTGAGGGGGTATATCACTTGCTGTTTTTTACCTTAAAATAATGGTGTGGTGGCTAAGTAGATGAAGACGAGCCATCAATAATGCATTTTGGAGATTTTGGCTCAAAACCCATAATTACACACCATCAGCATATCAGAGAAGTGAATGCATCCTTTTTCATGAGATAGGATTGGGAAGCTTGTGAAACAGGGACATTTTATTGAAAGCCCTAAGCTAGTTTTGCAACCTCTCTAATATTGCAATCCTTTGCATCTCTACACATCAGTAACTCACGATGAGTACACTATGAGTACAGGTAAGTGTGTATAGGATTGCAGCCTAAGAAAACTTTACAAGTTCTTAGACTTTTTAGTCCAATTCAATTTGGGGGCAGTGGGGTGGACTGGGATGTTTCAGCATGAGGGGACTTGGCATCTGAAAGTGTATAGCATTCTTTTTGCTGAATGTGACTATGGCTAGAGCAAAATAACTCCTGCTTGGCAGCTCTTTCACTTTTAATGTGGAACCTCCCCCTCCCCTTTCACCGTTCTCTGTAGACACCCGTCTGGTTATTATTCAGATACAAAGTCTACCTTTGAGTACATCAGTGGCAGTAAAATTATTTAGAAGGAAAATTATGCCAGGAGTATTCTTTCTGTAAAATTAGCTTCCCACCCTACCCCTGCCTCAGATTATGAAAAATAAATACACCAAGCTGGATTGTCCTGTTTATTTAAGACACGGTTACAGCTAGACGAATCAGGCTACAGTCTCTGACCATGCCATTTAATAGGGAGCACAATAAGCTCTGTGGTTGAAGGCGAGGGTACAACATCAAGCTATTCAAGTCATGTGGAAAAAAATAGCAAAATTTGATGACTGGAATGCAAATAGCACCCGGTAGTCCAAGAGGGGGGAAAAACCCCAATCTACGTCAGGTATAATATTTATTGGGAACCCAACACCAATGTGGTCAGTTTTGCTTGTTTATCATTGAAATGTAGTTTGCTCAAATTTGTAACCTACAAGCCTTATACTTTTTGCCATAAAAATGGAAGGGCAAGTTTTGTCTAGATGGAAGATTTCTCAGCTAGCAAGAAATATAAAGCAAAATCTTGCCTGGTTATGTTTCATTTGTGCCCTACTCGGCAAACTATACTTATCTCCAAACTAACCTGTACATGTTTCAATGTTAAACTGACTCATTTGTACAATAAGGAAACATAGATGCCTCCTCTTCTTCTTTTTTTTTCCTATGAAAAACCATGATCAGCTCATAAATAATCTTCCAGGCTGTTATTACTTTGTAGGTGTGATTCAATGACATACCATCAAATTCAGGTTGCACGTTTAATGTGAATTAGGAGCTCTTGTGAAACAAACGCACCAATTAAAATAAACCTGGACTTTTTGTAGTAAGGAAAGTGAGAGGAAAGTACACAGGAAAATGCCTGATGCTATAGCATCTAACCTCCTCACAAAATAATTCAGAATGAATGTACTAAAAAGATTCGACATCCTAGGTGCCAACTATAGGGGGCCCTGAGTGCCCGGGCACCCACAGCGTGGGCTCCAACACAACCTCTGGTTTCTACTGAAAGTTGCATCAGAGGCCCAGTGCGACTTCTGAGGCGAGTTGGAAGCCCTGCTAGGCCTCCGACATGACTTCTGGTGCAAACCGGAAGTCAGGGTGGAGGTCTTGCAAGGCCTCGGGCATGATCTCTGAGGCCCTGTGAGGTCTCGGAGATCATGTCTGAAGCCCTGCCAGGCCTCAGAAGTTCCTCTGTGGCACATTGATGTGACATGATGTCATGATGTCACGACGTCACATTACATAATGGGTGCCACTGGGTACTCATAACCTGGGGCCCATGTTGGCACCCCTGGTCGCCATTCTATGACCTCCCCACAAACGTTGGGTGAACAAACTGGGATGAAATCTAAATAAACAGATCATGAGGAAGCAACTACGTTGGCTTAAAAGAAAAAAGCTATTGATTTTCATGAAAGCTTCAGATTTTGTGCTGGGGGGACGGGACGGCTGCTGCATATCTCCATTCCTCCTTTCCTTTTAAAGGATTGCAGCAGAAGAAACTCATTTTGTAGGAAGGAGAGCTCAAAAACGACCACTTATCCACAAGCCACACATGTGAAACCTAGTTTGGTCTATTTAAAAGCTTACCAGTTTGGATTCCAGCTGAAAGCTGAGGTCTCAATTAAAGGTGAGACATCAAGTTACTTGTATCTTAGCACCCCCAGATTATTTTTATTTTTATTTTTAGCAGCGACAGTATATCTCTCTCTTTTTCTTTTTTTAGGAAAGTGGGGGGACTGTGGAAAGGCAGCTTTGGGTTTATAAACTTGAAATCCTATACTTGCTTACCTGAGAGTTATTTCTGTGTAGTAAGACATGGACAGTTGTGTGTGTGTGTGTGTGTGTAGCAATTTATTTCAGGTATTCAGATACGTTTTAGAAGAAACATCTGTCCTCCACATCTGTTACATAATTTATTATCTGTCTTGGCAGGGATATTTTATCCCTACCATAATAGTTTACTTAGGGCCGCTGCATGAAATATCCGACCCAGATAAAATCTGTTTAAATATTTCTCATCTTTTTCATATATAATAAGAGTTTCTAGAACGACCAAGATGCCCAACTTATCCTAAGTAAGGCTGTTTTTATATCTTTGCCATTTTAATCTTCATCATTCCCTGATACCCTTGAAGGCATCAGAGGTGCCAAATTAGAGACAGACCTGAGGGGGGGGGAGAGACTCCCTGTTTAATCTTAAAAGCAATTTTAAAAGACACATATTTTGTAAGGTTTCTTTCAGTGGGAGCCCCAGATCCGCTTCCCGTGCTTCTGATTTCTGTGTGTGCCATCTTGTTGGTTTGAAGTTTTCAGGGATTTCATTGCCTCTCCTAAAGATCAGACCTAAAACTGAAATGAATGAAACAGATGGAGTTTATTCCTCTGGTTTTCAAAATGATTTCACATCCCTCTTTCAACAATGAGTCAGGAATGTTTGGACAGGGTCTATCGCGTTCTCTTACAGGGCGTGGCTCAGGGGAAATCTGAGTGGTTAGTTCTATTTTCTAATTCTAGGGTGCAGCCTTCAAAGGCAAAAGAGGTGGCATTTATGACACCGTCTAGTTCTAAGGTGGCTGATTGGATGCCTCAGGTGGAGGGTTGCCAACCAATGAAAAAATTGGCCTGGCCTCTTCTTATGCCTTTAGCAGATGTTTGATATGGAACAATTAGCACATGATGATGATGGTTATGTGCTATGAAAAGAATCACTTGTGATTTCCTTGTGAGGCTATATATAGATATTGAAAAGTTGTAGAGGCCAGATTGAAGTTTTGAGAAGTTTAGGCTGGGTTCATAAATGCATCCTGCAGGTCCTCAGTCAAATCCATAGAACCATTTTAAAAGTTACAGATGTGTGCAGTCATCCTTTTGGGTTCTTCTTCTTCTCCTTTGGAGATCACTCATGGCCAAGTAATCTTGTCTTTCATACACACAGTTTTAACAGTGTGTCCGTAAGTGATTGTGGAGGTCA